CGATGACGATAAGTCGTCCCGTTTCTTCCTAATCGCCTTTCGCTAGCGCGCCGATCTGTGTGTTCAAGAGCGCGCCAACCGCAACAATCATCTTAGTCCTTCCCTTTGTGTTTTCCACGAGCGCCTAGAACCCCCCTTTCCTCTCTCTCTTTTTACTCTTTTTCCCTTTCCATCTTTCATATATCCTTTCGCCCCGACGGAGCCATCTTGCAAGTGGGCGGAGCCTTGCCGATCGAGAAACGCCCCCTTCCGGACGGAGGCTCCGCCCACCCTCCTGTGACGTCACCGTTTCCCTCCTTGTCCTCCATCGTTCTCCCCCTTTCTCTCTAATGGCGGTCGATACCGCTATATCTTCTCGTTTTTTTTTTTCTTTCCCATTGTTCGCGTTCTTGGCGTGCCATAGCATCTAGTCGTCCCGATAAGCGATGGTATTTGTAACGCAGCCGTATGTTTTCAGCAACTGATGGACGTAGAACGACTTTCTCTCCATCTCTATTTCTATAAGATTATTTTTATGTTTGGGTCATTTTTGAAACAAAATAAAGCCAAACTTTCGGGTTTCGATAACTGCTAGGTTTCATACCATCGTTGTGTGCAAAGGCGTTTTCCGTTCTTTGAGGCAAATCGTTTTCAGTAGGATGGGACGCCATTGTTACACAGCTAGTATTTATGTAAAGAAAAATGCAAACCCATTTCACAGGAGACTGCAAGTGGGAGTTTATTAAAGTAGAATACCTTTAAACGGAGGATATCGAGGAAAAGACCTACACAGAAAAACAGAAACGGCGTCATCATCGCAACGGTGGTCACGTAAACATCCTATAAAATAATATACGTACAAAAATTTCGACATTGAATAAAGCGGGCTATAATAAAAAAAATAAGAATTACACTTCTAGCTATACTGTGTATCTACTGCTTGAATGTCAAAGCGCGCAAAAAAGAAGTTTCCCCTTAATTTTTGCTTACGAGTGATGTTTTCAAATAGTGCGTCACAATAAAACATGCATGCTCATGGTTAAGCGCATACAGTGGATTCCCACCAACTATTTAAAAAGGTATTAACAGCAAAAGCGATTAGTCGGGCAATGACATTGTTGTCAGCCGTCCTGGTATTCTTACTAAGGCCGATAAATTATTTGTAAACAATGCATTCCTCAACAAACTATACCATCTCAAACACCCTGGGGCATTCTAAATAAATATGCGTAAAAAAGGTGACGTCAGTTCTTTTTTTTTTAATGCTATGTGCACGCAACTACACGAGATGCCCGTCTTTCCCTATTCCAGCCTAATTTACGTACTTTCTTCGCCTATTGCGTTCGGTAACCGTTGTGTGTAACTTCCAACATTTGTTAAATATTTCTAAAACCCAAGAGGGAACAAACACAAGACGTCTCAAACACACCTACTAAAATTTTGGTCAGGGCACTTCTTTTACACCCGTCATATCCACATCGCCCTCCACTTGCGCACGGCCCAATGGTTCACTACAGTTTACACACGAATGCCAAAGATGCTTAAAGTGTCCACAGGAAAAAAAAAAAAGACCACGCCCTCAGTGTATATACGCACACGCTTGAGGGCGGTGTGGAGATGACGGGTGTAAAAGAAGTGCCCTGAATAAAATTTTAGTAGCTGTGTTTGAGACGTCTTTTGTCTGTCCCTTCTTTTTAGCCTCCTCTTGGGTTTCCGGAATTTTGAACTTTAACCAGCTCGCCTGCCTTATTCGTTATCTTGGAACAATCTTTTTTTTTTTTTTTTTGTTAAAAAACGCTTTTTTCTTCTGTCGATAATATTTCTTTTTTCAGATCTTCCTTCGAATAAATGCGTTTTCTCGCAAAATTAGAGGAATAAAGAAAAAATGATTGACTGTAAAGATTTGGCTCTCTATTAAAGGAATGGTGAACCAAAATTTGGATTTAAAAAAAAAAAAAAAAAAAAAAAAAACGCAGGAGATGTAGGCGGGACGCTACAATCCCTACAACACTACTCGTAAGGCGATATCTCGAATGGACGGCCGTATTTTTGGAAAAAGAGGTCGAGATTGAACCAGGCCGTCGAGGCGCGTGACCGTCAAGATACCTAGTTTCCTCCTCTCTTCGCTTCGCTCCCTCAAAGTCGCGAGGCGGAGAAGACGCGAGGCCGTTCCCCCTCCTTCTCGGAGAAACATGACGTGAACATTTCTGTCAAATGCGCCTACTTTTCTTGAAAAATACGGTCATCCGTTCGAGATTTCGCTGTATGAGTGATGCTTTGGTGTTCGTAGCATCCTATTGCACGCTTTTGCCGCGTGTTTTGTGGAATCCAGATTTCGGTTCAGCATCCCTTTAAGGAACCCGCCGATGAGAGAACCTTGAAAGGTACCAGATCAGCTCCCTTGGAGGTGAAGAGAAACGATTTTTGAATATATACTTTTTTTTTTTTTAAGCTGACGTTGCATTGCACCGAGCTGGATGAAGATGACGTATCTGAGACAGCTCATACGAAGGTTTGTCTTGGTATAAGTTAAATGAAGATGCGTAAAGAGTTCAGACAGGACCGTATAAACTTTCCTGTACCTCATGCACGACCTCTTTGTATAGAATTTTTTGTTTGTTTCAAAGTTTGCGTATGATGCTTCGCTAAGTCAATCAGTATCACTCTGAGAAAAAGCACGTACGTAACTTTCCTGCCCAATACTAGGAGAGTCAATCAGCGCAACTTACGGATGCAGCTCAGCGAATGACGATGCCAAAACATATGTTTAGACCAAAAAACAAAAACAAAACGTAGTCTGAGTTGTGACATTAAGCAATGCAAGCGTGACGTTTTGCATTGCTTAATGTCACAACTCAGAGTGCGTTTTTTCCTCTAAACATATGTTTCGGCATCGTCATTCGCTGAGCTGCCTCCGTAAGTTGCGCTGATTGGCTCTCCGAGTGTTGTGCGTGAAAGTAGACGCACGGGCTTTTCTTAAAGTGACAGTGACAATTAATAGCATCTAGACAAGAGTGATTAATTAATATTATACATATTGGGTTTGGCGATAAATGGAACCAAATGATGTACTAGACAGTTAAATGTTGAAATCCTTCACACCAGGCACCTAGCCGGGGGGGGGGGGGGGGGGGGGGGGGGGCATGGGGCTCGGCCCCTCCCCGAAATCTTTCTTTTTGCTGGGACCTCCTCTCCCCCTCCCCCTCATACAGCCTTTTGTCATGGGCGGGCACCCCTTCCCCCCCCCCCTCCCTCCCCCCCCCCCCCCCCCCCCCCCCCGAAGAAAATTACTGGCTACGTGCCGGCTTCACACTAAATGCTCTCAGGAGAATCGAATATAATTTTCGTTACCTCCGGCACCCCCCCCCCCCCCCCCTCCCTTAGCCCCCGCCCCTTTCCCTCCGTCTCCTCGCAACCGTCGTCACCTCATTTCTGAAATAATATCCCCTACACTGATATGCTCCTTTTGCCTTTTTTCCTATTAAATGCAAAAGCCGTTAACGCAGAAGGAGAAAGCCCTGGAAGAAATTACTTACTATTGCGGTGATACAAAGCATTCATTAGTTCTTGGCAAACCTGACTTTCTGAGTCATATTAAGATCAAATTCTAATTTTTTCAGAGAAAACAAAATTGTTGCTAACACGTAGTCATGAGTATGTGTGTGGCCAAGAAACCTTTCAAAGAAAGTTTGACAGGTTTTGCTCCCTGACGCGTTCTACGCCCCTCTAACGAAAGAAGCTAAAACAATTTGGGGGTCCCTTTGGGTCAAGAGGTTAAAAACACTTTACTATGATAAACAAGGCTGTCATAAGAAAACAACAATAACATATATTGGTATATATTTCGTTCGTTCCACACTATTTTTATATGCATATATATAAATGGCAATGCGGCCGATTGATGTCTCTGAGTGCTTTAGTGGCCGCGCGTTCGTGACTATATGCATCACCACTGAACAGAACATGAGGGCGCAAGTGAGCTGGTGTAAACTGAACATTTTGACGCAACCCGAGACTGAGGAAATACGAAAGATGACAACAAGAGAAGAGAAGGGGAACAACTGACTGCACTTGACCACTGACTAGATTTTAATGGAAATGGATGCCTGGAATGGTTTACTCAGAATTTCTTCGAGGGCACCAACATTAGACGACGTTTGATCCTAATAGTATTAAGAAATGCCGACAGTATTTTACTGAGGAGAGTTCTGTGATATAATATTAGAAGTAGACGAACGAAGGAGCAATTCCAGTGTGAACTTCGCACAAACTCCTTTCGTCGTACTGGTTATTTATATACTATCTACCCTTGTCTTAATATTTTTTTTAATGTTCCATTCAGTCATGATCCAAGTACTCCAAATTTTCATCTTGTTCTATGAGAAAGCGGCGGCCACGTTGCTAGGAATTTTAAAAACATAACTTCGACACCGACCTGACCTAGACTTATCCAAGAAAGTAGGCAATTCGGGCCCACTTTCTTTGCGCCAACTTTCTTTCGTCCTTCCTGCTATTTTATCTCATACTTATACTTTGCCTAATATAATAAAAGTACAAGCGCAGGATTATAAACCCGTCGCACACCGATGCAAGAGCAATTTAACCTCCCCGACACAACCCAATTAGCGAAACAAAGGAAAGCCGACGACGCCATAGCTGCGCTCCGTCGCCGCGCTCAAACCGTGTGGCAGAGAGCCCATCGAGCCCGACGCCCGCGTGCAGTCATCCCGGGAAAATCGAGCCGTGGGCGGCCCCAGACCGGCGACGATGCCGCTGACGTCAGTCATTCCGATTCCCCGAGGCCGCAATCGCGCCGCTGCGCTCCGCCTCTTCCAGAGGACCCCACCGCCGCTTCGATCGGCGTGCTGTCCCGTTTCAAGCCGCCCCCACCACCGCGACCATCCGCAATGCATTAGGCCTAGCAGTTAGGCCTAGCACCGCCCTCCCCTCTCCCCAACTTTCACCGTTGTCCTCCCCCCGCACCTCGCGCTCTCCTTCACCGATCTGCTCGAAACGGAACCGAAGAATCGGGCCGAGTACGAGAAACTGACGGAACCGCGGTTACTATCGACGACGCCGACGTAGAAGTAGCGAGCCCGTCGCGTCGTCCGTCACGACGTGACCGGTCCGTTCGCAGAAGACCATGGCGGACATGTCGGCGTCTCCAACAGTCAAGTCCTTCTGCATCGAGGCCCTCCTGGCCCGAGACAGCGCGACGCCGGTATCCAAGTCTCCAGGAAGCTGTTCCGAAGGAGAACCCGGCTGCAGTCCTCCGCCCCCGGTGTCTGTGGCGGCTGTGGTGGCCTCTCAGGCTGGTAGGCTCTTGGGAGCGTTTCCCGGCTATCCCGCTGCGGTGTTTGCCACCGCTGGAGGGCATCCGCTGTACGGGCTCCCCGCCGGCGCCTTGCCGGGTGTCTTGCCCGGCCTGCTGCCTGGCAGCGCGTTCCATCCGACGTTGTCTGAGCACGGCATCAAGCCTCACGTGTCCCTGGACTGGCTAGCCCGGTCTGCAGGATTCTACCAGAGGCCTGGAGACGTGACAGGTAGGCGTCTTGAGCGGCATGTTCGCAATGTGGTCTTATAATGATCTGGATGGGCGTCGCAGACTGGTCTGCGGATAGTGTATCATCATTGCGCGATGCACGTTAAGGACCCCAGAATGGCAGTGGTACTGCACTCGATTAATTTCTTATCCACAGCTGAGACATCAGACGCCCAGTGAGGCTGGCGTAACTTTCGGCTGTATAAAAATATCCACAACAGAATTGTTATTATTACCTAATTTCACCGTAAGTCCAAAGAAAGCTGATGCGAATCGATGGGGCTAATCGAGCGGTGCCAAAAGCGCGACGTGACGGCCATTCGTCGCCTTTCTGTATTCGCGTCTTATCACCGGCTAAGACAATCAACTATAGAGCGTGCCCCATGACCTTGAGCTTTGACCCTGCGCATCTGTGTTTCTACGCTTTTTAGCCATTGGCTGCTCACGGACGTATGGTTCAGATGTACTTGGCAAGCGTTTACGGTCATGGTCAAGGCGTCGCTTTTTGTTTCTTAGACCTCTTGCCATGGTTCGTTGATTAGGACATGTAAGAGACCCTTTCCGAAATTCAGTCTGACCACTTTGATCACTATCATTGTCCGAAAAATGGCACATGTGCCGTACTAACGCATGGCGGCTTTCTGTTTGTTGATGAAGGAAGACGTTGAAGATGCTCCTAAGTTCATGGTTCGAGGCCTACATACATTTGACACGTTAGCATGATGCGAAGCAGGAATTGAATGCAAGAGCTGCGTAAGCGTTCATTTCTTACTCGGGTCAAGACAGTCGCACACAATCGGTTTCAAAGCCGCTTGACAAAGTATAGAACTTTATCAAGGCGCCTATGTGGGTCGGCGCTTCGTTCTGACATGCTTGCATCTTTTTCGCCATCGACACTGAAAAAGATCGAGAAAGAACTTACCGTTAAGCGGACATTCTCGTCTGCCGTTCACTTGCGAAAGTGACGGTTCCCGGTACACAATCGTGCAAACTAGAGGTTCATTGCCGCCATTAGTTTGGTACAAGTTAAACTTTCATTTGAGCCACCAGACGGCAGTGAATTTCGGAGAGGGTCTACGGAGGAATTCAGGACACGAATAACATCCCAAAAGAAGCATATCAAGTGCGCACTGCGCGACACTGTAAGCGCGAACACCACATGGGTGCGTTTACGAAGTTTTCTTCAAAACAGTATTGTTGGGCACCACATTTTATCGTTAAGGTTAATGCCCCATACAACCGCTCTCCATCCTGCTAGCGATTTTAGCGACATACTTTCAAGTATAAGAGAAAAATGACAGTAAATGGATATCACTTGATTGCGCTAACAGTATATATAGCGTGCACAATCTCGGCATCACGAAGTCGAAGATAAAAAGGAGGATTTAAAAAGGAAAAAAAAGGAGATAAGAGGGATCACTTTACGTGTACCGAACTTGACCTAAGCGACGGGAGTCCTTCTACCACGGCTTTGGAATGCACAAACTTTGTAACTTGACGCTTTTACGTGATCGCGAACATGCAATGCACACCGCTAATTATCGGTCGCATTGAACTTGCCAGATTCTTCAGCACAGAAACAGTTCACCGTAGCTATAAGCGCAACCTGACCTCGCTCTGCACATGCAATAAAAATCACCAAACAAATATAAAATGAGCTGGGGAGTACTCCGCCGTGTAAAGGCTAGTCTTGTAAAAGCTTGGTCTGCTGGGCAAGTTGGTAGTGGACATTCATATTAAAATAGCGTTTGTCCTGTGTGCTTCTTCGTCTTTTTGTCCCGTCTCTTTTGCGCTATTTTAATATGAAAGGCTAGTCATATACACACACAAAAATTGGAACAATATAGCTGTGAGCGTATTGGAAACACCACTCTGAGGGTACTGAGCGAAGGGACATGTTAGTAAAAAGTACGTTATCATAACTCCTGCCTTTACTAAGCTTTATACTACCTCAAGTTCACTGGATCCACACGTCAGATATTATCCGCAATAATCTTATTTGATTAATTATACTCGATTAAACAAAAATATTGGGCATGCATATCATCAGCCGTTAAGTGATGCACAGCAAGGTCGACCCAAGTAATCGCATGTCCGGGGAAACGAAGGGGCTATTTCTACACACATCAAAAAATATCAAGTTACGTGGAAATAGATATAGCATTTAAAGTTCATAAAGTTTTATTCTTGTATCGATATCTGGAACAATCTTCATATCATAATAAACTGGCCACATAAAGTGGATTTCAAAATTCGTCTACTAAACGTATTGTTGTAGAGGGCATAGAGGGCTGGTGAAACAATAAACACCGAATTCGGTATTCATTTTATATTTTACCTAGCTTCAAGTCATAGCATACAATAAACCAATGCATGCAGACGTGATGCAAGAACCAGATTACTCACGTGATCATAACGCTGCACAGCGCTTTAGCGTTGTGGAATTTCACGGCACTTTATTGCAAGCACGTACTATATGTGCCTCACGTGCAAAACAAGCTGCTCAATTGTTTTAAATAAAGAACACAATAAGTTTTAGGTCGTCTAGCTAGTTCTTCGCTAATGTTGAAACAAAATAAAAGTACACTCTATTACAATTAATTGAGTCGGCTTATGCATCGTGGTCGTTACGACAGGTATGACGGACCTGGAAAAGTCCTCCTGAAAGATGTAGTAAACGGAGGTTATGAAATGCCCGCTTCGGAGCAGAGTTGGGTAACTAAGATTTAACGGCCTACACTTGTGGAAGCACCCGATAACAGGAGCTATATATGGTTCAACAAAACAACAATACCTTTCATATAAGTGATTTTTAAGTGATGATGGGCTTACAGCCGCTAACGTGTCGGAAATACGAGAATGTAAACACTCACTTGCGCTCTCGTTTCTGTGCGTTCGAAAAAAAATCGTATTTTCGTTGTTTCCGAGTATAATTACTTGCGATACCTTAGTATACAATATTTAAAAAAAAAAAGAAGAAAAAAACACCCACAGGGGACGTCATATACAGCTTCATTCGGCCGCCAATTGGATGGATCTTTCTCTATTCACTCTTATAATTTTTGAGCACATGCTCTTTCTCTCGGACATGATCCTCGCTTTCTCATGTGCTTTCCCATTTTGATCAAAAAAACGTCAATACCTTCTTCTACACATTATCTTAATCTGCTCAAGATTTTCCACTGCAGCTGAATGTTCACAAGAGTAATTGATGTACACTAAATGCGCACACGTATGTGCGTTAATGGGTCACAACATGATGACACCACATTCCCCTTAGTCAAGATTAACAAAAAGCACAAGTAAAAAAATTAATTAGATTAATTTCATTTAGCTCAAATTTGTACAATCTGAATGATATGTATTAGATTTAAATCACTTTTTTTTCAGTCCGATTTATTGGTTTTATATAAGATTATCTCGATTTAAATCGCCGTTGCTAAAAAATAGTGACTCTTTATCACTAGGTGCACTTTAAACATGGCAGATTAACCGATCAATCCGCCCGATCCCTGATAAGAAATCCGGAGGGATAAATTACTGTAGACTGAAAGTATACAGTTTAGTAGGGCCTTTCAAAAAATGCATCAAGTAACATTGGCAGTGACCATTTTTTGGGCACCAAGCGTGTGATTGGGCTGGAGTTCACGCCGAATGCTGACGTCACCCTCGCGTCCACTACATGCTCAGAGTATACTCGCCCCAGCAATGGCGGACATACAGTGGCGCGGACTTTTGAAAAGGGTCTATTAACAGTTTTTTATTGATGCAAGCCCCGCCATACTAGAACAAAACAGCTTGATGTTTTAGTTAGATGAAAAGCTCTACCTGTTTTTCTTTTATGTTCTGATATGCTTACAATAAGACCATTACTTTTCTAGTTTTCGTTTCTCTCTTTCGAGTTATGATTTGCTTGCAATAATATGTTACCAACGAACGAAGTGGACGGTAGAAAGCTCCATTCTCCGATTCGCTGAAAGTACTGTTTTTTTTTTTTTGCTTCTTTTTTGTGTTCATCTTGGTGTGCTTTTTTATTGCTTGATGATTATTTTATTTTAGTACAAAACAGATCCAGATGGAACGCATGAAATGATAGATAAACGGTAAATAAAAAAAACTATTTCAGGGATTTCTGTGGAAAAAGGTTGATTTAAATCAATATTGTAAAACCAGTCCGAATTTAATCGCGGTTTAAATCATCATTTGAGTCCCAACTTAAGTCGTTTTGATTTTATTTTCCACACTTTTCCAATAAAATAAAAAGCACCGATACATCTTTGTTTCTGTTCTCTTCATCTTGTTTCACCCTGCTCTCTTGTTATCCTTACAAGATTATGCTATCGTCAAATTAAAATTTTGGGTCATTTGAATATGACGATGCATGTTGTGCGCGGAGGTGTGGCATACGAGGAAGTGGGTGCAGGTCTTTAGACAGCAACACAATTTGCTTAGCAAGTTCGACGGCTCCAAATCCTAAATTTAGACTTGCGCGAGGAACAGGCCGTCTTTCGTGTGGCAATGATTGTTTTACACATAACTTGCTACATAAAAAATGACTATGTGTGAGTGTGCGTGATTGCGTTGAGCAAACGTTAAGATAACTCGCGAAGCTATCTGAAGCTGAAATATGACTGATCTCAAATAGTGTCATGTGTGAAGGTTTACCTTAGCTTTTTTAACGAACGTATAGCCAGTGTTATTAACAATATATTAACAATATGTTTGAAGCTACTTTCTCTTCTAGCGACACTAGCTTCAATTTAGGTCTCAGATGGGTGGTACATCACATGAACCAAGCACAGAAGTCGCAAAACCAACTGGCAGTCAGTTCCATGTTCCAAAAGTTGTCAAACTTCTTTTTTCTTCTTTTGAATGGGAATTGCAATTCTTTTTTGTGAAGCCGTTTTAAAGATTTCACTCCAATTCCCGTGCACGATCCTGCTGAATTACGTTAAAATCTCAGTGTTTCAAATAATTATATATATATTTTCAGATTTTTTG